GAGGGGGAGTTTTTTTGTGCGACCCTATGATTTGCATTCAGCTTGTTGTCCGTGTGCGTGCATGCGTGTTTGCATGGAATGGTATGAGGGCATGAGATAATATATATTTCATGCGTACAATAGTGTGTGAATGATGAGGCATGATTTTGAATGTGTGTGTCGAGTCAATAGCGAGTTATCGCTAGTCGCGTGTCACGTCGTCATTTGCGTGTCGTGTGCGGTTTTCTATTTTGTCGTGTGTGGAACGTTCGGCGTGTTGCAGGTGTGCACAGCAGACTTCCAAGAACTCAAGGAAGAATTTATCTTGAATAACCAAAGCCATGGTTTCAAGATTCAAGTGATTTCGAAGCTCTCCAAAAGTGTAAACTTCAAGATAGTGAGAATAGTTACATTACAATGTGTAGTGTAACATTTCACTTGGTGTAGGCCCTCGTGGAGGGTAGTTTCGAGACCCTTCATGGTTGGGGACAGTGTGGCACTGTTCCACATCACTGTACCTCAGCTCTTGCGGTTTGTAGGAGCTGGGAGTCATTCCCAACTCGTAACTCTTCCTAATTTGTGTTTTAAGACTATAGTGGCTGCCATAGTGCCGTTCGTTCAAACCGACATTGTGTCGTCCATTGTTAGTGAAATCGTGCAATCTAAATTGCCTGTTATAGGCGATGTTAAGACGCTCTAGATCCAAGTTAAATCAGGTCATTTGGAGCTGTGAAAAGAACGCTATGAACGTTTAAAGCCGTTGTGCACTCTATCTTTCGGTTTTGGCACATTCAAGCCTACTGTGACTATAACAACGCGCGCCAGCGTGAGGTCAGGCTTCTTTCCGCTTAGCAGCCGGTGCGGCGTCGTCCCCGGCGGCAGCGTCAAACGCTCAAGACAGTTGCACACCCAGACAGCCTGCCACGTGGCAAGGTGCCACCACTGGTGCTGCATGCCCATGTGCATTAGCATTGTCCGCACGGCCTTGACGACCGTGCGCATCTCCCTCTCCGCCATGCCGTTCTGCTGTGGAGTGTACAGGCAGGTCAGGTCGTGGACGATTCCTTTGCTGTCAAAGAAGTTGGTGAAGTCCTTCCCCAGGAACTCGCCTCCGCGGTCAGAGCAGAGCATCATCACCAACATCTTGGTTTGCCTCTCCACGACCAGCAGCCTTTTCTCGAACACTTGCAGGATGTCAATTTTCTTGGCGATCGGCCTCACCACACGTAGCACTTCTTCCCGTCCTTCAGCAAAAGAAAGTAGTAGCCGCCATCCTTGGCGGCCACCCTGAATGACCAGCACTTCCTCCACGTGAGAGCCCTTGTTGGGGAAGTTTTGCCGCCTACGCAGGAAACGCACGGCAAGTCAGCCCTGGGCTACGGCTTGATGTCTAGGCCAGTGGCAACTTTGTGCTTCACTGAGCTCTTGATGGTGTCGACGCCAACATGCGCGAGCCTCATGTGCCACCTATCGGGCATCGACTTCGTTGCCGATGCGATCGTCCGCAGAGCCACTACCTCGGTCGACGTTGAAGTCCACTACGTCATGAAAGGTCAAAGGTCGGTGCAGAGGACCCGGCCGGTGTACTTTGCTCGACCAAGCACGTCCCCCGTCGCTAAGAGGAGCAGCATCTCGTCGCCGTCGTCTTGTAGCTTCACGCCGCTGTCCTTCAACTGGCCGGCTGACAGTAGGTTTGCCTGCACGCTCGTGACGTAGAGCACGTCGGGGACAAGAACCTGCTTCTTGGCCTCCCCGTGCAGAGCAATGCTGCCGCGGACTTCGACAGTCTGCACATGTTTCACGTCGCCGCTCGGCGCCATGTCAACGAAGGCCTCCTTCGTCCCCATCAGGTGTTGCGAGGAGCCGCTGTCGAGCGGATCACCATCGGGTTCACCTGCAAGGCGGCCGCAACTGCCTTGAAGTCCTCGCCAGCGTCCGACGCCAGCGAGAGCGTCGGCTCCACCACTCCGACCATCGAGCATGACACCTTCCCGTTGCTTCGACCCTTACCGCTGGAGTCCTTTGACAACGATGCCTTCTTCGACGCCTGCTTCTCCTTGCGTGGCTTTTCGTCCCGACTTCGACGACCACTGGCCAACCTGGTGCGGCCTCCCTTGTGATCATCGTCGACAGACTCCTCTCGGTCAGGGCAGTCATAGGAGAGGTGGTCGGCGCTTCCACAGACCCAGCACTCGCGCCGTTGACCAATGCTGCCACGACCACTGTCTCAAGCTGACTTCGTCCGGTTGGCGTCCTTCCCCGACCTCCCACCTCTGCTACCACCTCCGCCAGACTTCCCGGGCTGCCCCTGCGGACGATCTTGCTTCGTCGGGGCAACGTAGTTCGCCTAAGGAAGGATCTCCGTGGGCCGGTCAGCCTCCCGCATAGCCTCATCCTTTATGATGTGGCTAGTCAAGGTATCCTCATTGAGGGACTCACTTACGCCGGGCATCGCCATCATCTGGCGCATGAGGTTGTAGCCACTTGGGAGACCCTTGACGACATGCGTGATGTAGGACGCCGTCAAGCAGTCGATGCCAGCCATCTGCATGTCGCCAGGATCCGTCGAGCGCGATCGCAGTAGTCCGTCGCCGACTCCTGATCCCCCATCCTAAGGTGAGTTAGCTTCTCCTCCAGCTGGCCGTCGGTCGCCTGGTACGCCGGCAGGATGAACTGCCACGCCTGGTGGCCGGCGTCCACTCGAATTCGGCACGAATTCGAAGCAATCAGCACCATCGACGAGCAGCACCGCAAAATGACCATGAAGGTCAATAGCTATGCGGCACAAAATTCCACTTGCAGCTCGACGTCAGCCTTGTGCGGCGTCACCACGTCGCCGTCGGCGAAGCACTTCAACCCGGCGATCTCCAGCTGGGGCTCGATCGACTCCCTCCACGTGACGAGGTTGACCTTCTAGCAGCACGGGCACAGAGGTCTTGTTCGGTGAAAACTTGAAGTAGCCATACGCCAGTGCAATCCGGCCCGCAGTCACGTGGGTCGCCGACGAAGGCCTGACTCCAGTTTGTTGGGGAGAGCAACGTCATCCATCGACCACAGCCCCCGTGTCCTCATTCCGCTGACTTCGACGTCGGCTTCCCTGATCACTCCGCGAATCATCCACGAGCCTTTGTCGTTGCCGACTTGGTCACCATCGTCGACCTCGTTGTCGACGCCACCTTCGTTACGTACTGGTCATGGAGAGGCGGAAGCACCATCCGCACCAGGTCAGGATGGGTGGTCGTGCGCCCACTGCGCACGGACGCCTAGGAGGAGCACCTCTAAGGGGGCCGTCCCGTGCTTGCCAGCAGTATGGCGTCTCCTAGCATCAGCCTCTCGTACCTCCAACTTATCATCTACCGCGCCGGCTTCTACCGGGGTAGGCGTCATGGTATGCACGGGCTGCCGGCCCAGTAACGACCGAGGTAGGTGGTAAGGCGGCTAATCTCTGAAGGTATCTTGCAGGGCCGTCCACACTCACCACACCATGCGGAGGAAAATATCTTACAGGAAAGGACAGAATGACGTGAGGGCACAAGGGTTGAATCCGAGTGCCAACTTTGACAGAATCCAAGCATAGGTTTCACTAAGAAAAAGAGTTGATCAAGTATATTACAAGCAAGATTGAACCAATATACTACAACCAAGGAACCCTGCAGAAACGTTACTAGAGGAGCGTTTAGTTAGCTACCAGGCATGTGCTATGCCAACTCAGCAATGGCAGGTGAAAAAACAGCCCATGTATTTTTCACCTAACTAAGTAGTTGCCGAGGTTGTACATGCATAGTTGTGCATGTTTTTGTGGTTACAAAAACGTCTAGCAGGTTCTCTTTCTGTTGCCGGTTCAATTTCTCTTGGCGGGTACATTTTCCGCCAGGAATGATTGGTCAAAATTCCCTGCGCCCTCATTGGTCGAAATTTGTGCACATTGATTTTCTCGCCGAGATTCTCTAGTGCATTTGCGAGAGTGCGCAGGGGGTTGTCGCGACCCTGCACATATGAACTTCCGCAAACCCTTGCACTGCACCAGCTGCGCCCCTTGCACCTGCGCACGAGGGCCCTGTTCGGCTGGCGCATCAGCATATAGGCTCGGGGACCAGCTCAGGTTCGGAAGTGGTGCTCACATACGAGACCCCCAGGTTCGGGTTTTGTAAAAATGCCGCAAGTTCGTGGAAGGCATATATCGCGTTACTGCACCTTCGCCTCACAACCGTCCGGGCTGCCCTGACGCTTGCTGGGTAGGGACCAAAATGTTCAAGAGGGGAGCGCACCTCTCTGAAACCTCCCAAGGCAAGAATGTTGGCATTGGTGGGTGTTCAATTTCTGAGTGCGGGCAGGTGTGGGCTAAAAAGCGCGCTGAATGATTTTTGGAGGGCTGACGAGGCTGCCCCGCATCAGCTGATGCGCGCATGGTGCAGCCTCGAGACGACGCACCATGCGCACATAAGTGGTGCGGCAGATTGCGACAAGAGGATGTTTCATGGAACGCCCGATCGGTTTCCAAAACAAGGGCCAAAAAGGTTGTTCGGCAATCATCCAGCACCAGTTCGCTTCGCCAGCAATGTGCCTATCCCGGGCCTTGAGAACATGTATGTCACTCACTTATCGAGGAAGGTTCGAGGGTGGTGGTTTCTCTGTAGCTGGACCCCGAGTCCGTATGTGATGCGCCAGCTGAACAAGGCCGAGGTGTTGCTACTGCATCCGCGGACACCATAGTACCTCGTGCACAGGTATCTCGGTACATCCTGTGCACATGTAAATATTCACCAAACTGCCCCGACGAAGCAAGGACGTCAGCAGGGGCAACGCGGGAAGCTGGGTGGAGGTAGTAGCGGAGATGGGAAGTCGATGAAGGACGCCGGCCGCACGAAGTCGGCGCGGGACAACGGTCGTGGCAGCGGTGGTCGACGACGGGAGTGCTGGCTCTGCAGCGACCCCGACCTCCTCTCCTTCTAGTGTTCCTGTCAAACTATAATTGTTTAGTTTGTATTTGTTAGTCTACGTTGTGTACACTCATGTTCCTCCTACTCCTCCTCCTCCTCCTCCTCCTCCTCCTCCTCCTCCTCCTCCTCCTCCTCCTCCTCCTCATCATCATCATCATTCTCCTCCTCCCCCGTATCCTCCTCCTTGTCGTCGTTCTCATCATCACCCTCCTCCTTCTCCTCCTCCCCCGCATCCTCCTCCTCCTCCTCCTCCTCCTCCTCCTCCTCCCCCTCCTCTGCCTCCTCCTCCTCCTCCTCCTCATCCTCCTCCTCCTCCTCCTCCTCCTCCTCATCCTCCTCCTCCTCCTCCTCCTCCTCCTCCTCCTTCCCCTCCTCCTCCTCCTCCTCTTTCTCCTCTTTCTCCTCCTCCTCCTCCTCCTCCCCCTCCTCCTCCTCTTTCTCCTCTTTCTCCTCCTCCTCCTCCTCCTCCTCCTCCTCCTCCTCCTCCTCCTCCTCCTCCTCCTCCTTTCTGTCATTGTCCTCCTCATCCTCAATGTCTTCTTCCCAGTTTTGAGGCCTTTTCCCCCTCGGTGCTTTCTTGCCCCTTCTTCTGGCAGAATTCTTCCGCAATCTGGTGCGGCCCTTCCGGCACAGTGCAGTACCCGTCGTAGGCTGACTTGCTTCCCTGCTACCACACGTCTTCCCAATTTTGGAGCCATTGTCGTCCTCATCCATGCTTGTCGCCAGCCGCCTCTTTGCCCACGTACTAATGGCGCCGGCCAGGGCGGTATCATCCTCTTCCTCCCCCTCGCTCCTCCTATGCCTACGCCTCCTACATCCACCTAAAGGAGGAGAGCCCCGGTCGCCCTCAACTTTAGCTGCTTCATTGTCTATGCCACGGGCGACATCGGTGATGCCGTGTTCCTCGTCTGGTGGTTTTTTCTCCCCCTCGTTGTCCTTCACGGTTTGTTGGGCGACCACGGCAGCAGACACTTAGATGACATTCGGCTGGAGCGGCGTCAAACGCTGCTGCAGCCCTTCCGCGACGGACTCTTAGATGGCGGCATTCTCCAAGGGTGGAGCATTGCCTTGGTTTCTCCCTCTTGCTGGGCTCCTCTCACTAGGCCGACAGATCCGCAAGACTCACGCTCCCTCTGCCAGGATCTTCCGTGGCGCCGATGGTGCTATCATCCGTCGGCCGTGCTCGCTTCCACCCGATACGTCCACCACGCCTTCTTCTCATACATTTCCTGACCAGGCGCGGTCGCTTTACCGGGAATTTTTTTTTTCAGTTGACTGCCACGCATGGCAGATGCTTTAGTAGCTTTAGATGCCTCCCTGACGAGCGTCTCCTGGATGTTCCTCCTCCTTTTCCTTTTGCCGAGTGGCATGTGTCATGCTGGTCCTACGAAAGCTAACGTTTCCGAGCATAAAGGTTGTTTAGGTTTGGTAATCGTACCGGTAATGTATGAAAGAAAATTCAACACAACGGTCTTACCAACCATGTCTCTTAAAAGTAATAAAAAACAGTAATCACTTAGCACAGTGACCCCACGCACTACTTAGTCAACTGGTGAGTCAGGCAATCTGGATACGCCAGTGACAACCATCGAGCACCTACAAGGTCGTGGGCCAGAGGGTGAAGGATCCTTTGGGGAGGGCACGAGGGTGTTTCGGGTGGCTTGCCAGACGAGAGAGTCGCCTGTTATCTGATCTGGCTCGATCAGATGTTGCATACAATGCCAGCCAATCGAAATACGCACTCACCGCTCGATCAAATTCGATTCAATGGCAGATGTACCGTTTGGCAAGTGCGTCTAGCGGAGTTTGATCCGTTTAAGTGTCGTAGGCCATTTGGTATTACCAACACCCCAAAAGGCACGCATGAGAATGGTTTGTGGACCGCTTGCATGAATGTATCGTCAGCCCTGTAAAGTACTGGGGTGACGCGAAGTGAATAACAGTGTACAACTATTCAAACCCTGATTATAAACGTAAACTAATACAAACAAAACGAAATCCATTATGCATGTTATGGTGTTAGCATACACTTTTGAACACCAGGAACAGAAGGACACATTTCCTGTGTCATGAACTATTTAGTGTGTTATTGGATCAAAGGACGATGAACGATATCATGCCATGACACTACATACTGTCTAATGGTCTGTCGTAATATGGTACAGGATTGGGTTCATCTCTTGAGAGGAACTTCCACAAGTGACATGAAGGATGTGGTATGAAGTTCTGGGCAATTGCACAAGCGGTGATATGTTATCAACAGACAGGTCTCAACTGAGCGATGTTGCAGCGACCAGGTGTTTGGTTTGCAATGAAGGGAGAAACCGTTGTGATGTGGTATAGGTTTGGGTTCATCTCTTGAGGGGAACTTCCACATGTGACATGAAGGATGTGGTATGAAGACCTCGGCAAACGCACAAGCGGTGATATGATCTCAACAGCCAGGTCTCAACTAAGCAACGTTGCGGCGACCAAGTGTCTGGTTTGCAACGAAGGGAGAAACCGTTGTGATATGGTATTGGATTGGGCTCATATCTTGAGGGGAACTTCCACAGGGTACATGAAGGATGTGGCATGAATGTCCGGGCCATCGCACTAGCGGTGATATGTTCTCGACAGCCAGGTCTCAACTGAGCGACGTTGCAGCAACCAGGTGTTTGGTTTGCAACGAAGGGTGAAACCATTGTGATATGGTATTGGATTGGGCTCATATCTTGAGGGGAACTTTCACTAGGTAAATGAACGATGTGGCATGAAGATATGGGCGATGGCACTAGCGATGATACGCTCTCGACACCCAGGTCCCAACTGGGCGACGTTGCAGCGACCAGGTGTTTGGTTTGCAACGAAGGAAGAGACCGTTCTGATATGGTATTGGATTGTGCTCATATCTTGAGGGGAAATTCCACAGGGTACACGAAGGATGTGGTGTGATGACCCGTGCAATCGCACAAGCGGTGATATGTTCTCGACAGCCAGGTTTCGTCTGGGCGACATTGCAGCGACAAGGTGTTTGGTTTGCAACGAATGGAGAAACCGTTGTGTTATGGTATTGAATTCAGCTCATATCTTGATGAGAATCGTCTCAGGGTCCAATAAGAATGTGGTTTGAATATCATGGCATCGAACAAGCGATGATTAAGTATTGTGTTGATGAACATATTGGGTCTCCTTCAACAATCTTAGAAAAGTATAAGGAGTTTATGAAAATTGCTCGGATGTTTTGAGACATCAGTAAAATCGTGGGAGGATTTAGAAACACAACCCTGTATATTAGGGGTTTGTGATTACCAACCCCTAAAGTATGGTGCTCAAATCTCTAAGGAAGAGATTATTCTAAATATAAGATGTAACTATTCATTGTAATTCTTATGTGGGTTAAAGGAGAAGAGGATGCACATCCTTTTGGGCTCACCTACGTGATTGTGTTTTGCCGCCTATAGCGACACTCGCAACAATCACAGCCTCAAAAAGATTTGTTCCTGTCAGAATGTTATAGTGCTTACTTTGTGTAGGCTATAGTGGGGTAGCCCATAAGGGGTACAACCCAATTAGGCTTAGTACTTGTACCAACTTTCTGCTCAATGCAATCCATTCTCGTTCATTCTTCTGACATGGTTTCAGAGCAGGTCCTCCCCTAGGACCGTTTTTTTAGGGCCCACCATAGAGCTGCCCAACTCACTGACCTGCCCTAACAGCGCGCCGCCCTACAGCACAGCGCGCCGCCCTTAGCAGCCCGCAAGCCGCCCCTGCAGCCCGCGCGCTGCCCCTGCAGCCCCGCGCACCACCCCTGCAGCCCCGTGCGCCGCCCTTGCAGCCCGCGCGCTGCCCCTGCAGCCCGCGCGCCGCCCCTGCAGCCCGCGCGCCGCCCCTGCAGCCCCTCGCGCCGCCCTTGCAGCCCCGCGCGCCGCCCCTGCAGCCAGCGCGCCGCCCTTGCAGCCCGCACGCCGCCCCTGCAGCCCCGCGCGCCGCCCCTGCCGCCCGCGCGCCGCTTGCTTGCGGCCCGCTCGCTGCCCCTGCAGCCCGCGCGCCGCCCCTGCAGCCCGCGCGCCGCCCGCTTGCGACCCGCCCGCCGCCCCTGCAGCCCGCGTGCCGCCCTTACAGCCGGCGCGCCGCCCACTTATGGCCCGCCCGCCGCCCCTGCAGCCCGCTTGCTGCCTGCCTGCGGCCAGCTCACTCCCCCTGCAGCTCGCTCGCCGCCCCCCCCTGCGGCCCACCTGACGCCCCTTGCAGCCTGCGAGCCGCCCCTCTTGCAGCCTGCGCGCCGCCACTTGCAGCCCGCTTGCCGCCCCTCTGCTCTGCGTGTGTGCTGTGCGCTGTGCGCCGTGCGCCGCTCTGCTTTGCTCTGCTCTGCGTGTGCCGCTCTGCTCTACCTGCGTGCCGCTCTGCTCTACCTGCGTGCCGCTCTGCTGGTAGCGCGCCACCCTGCTCTGCCCGCTATGGCTTCTCTCCGTGTCCTCACGTTCGATCATGAGGGCCGTCCGATCCAGTTCGACGCGTGGCTCGATGACTTACAGCTGTACCTACTGAGTGACTCTAGAGACAACGTCCTTGTTTGACCACACGTCCCTCTCTCTCCCCTCTCTCGCCCCTCCCGCTACAGCTGACAGTACGACTCGCTCACAGTGGCTTACCCATGACGCTGCTGCCTTCTAAGCCATTCGCAACCACCTGCCGTTAGCCGAATGCGCTCACTTCGAATAGCACAAGACTGCTAAAGCACTGTACCACGATGTAGTCGCCCGTTACTCCTCCCCTGCCACTTCTGCTCTAGGCCGTCTTATAATACCCTACCTGTTTCCCGAGCTGTCCGCCTTTGCCACGGTAGAGGACCTCGTTTCCCACCTTTGCACTAGCAATGCTCGCTACCGCGCTGCCCTCCCAGCAGAGTTCCTTGACAGGAACCCCCCTCCGATGTACATCACTCTCTACTTCATAGTCACCCGCCTCCCTGGCTCTCTTCGCGCAGTCAGGGACCACTTTCTCGCACTTGACCCCATGGACCTCACTATTGACCTGCTCGAGCAGCACCTCCTTGCAGCTGAGACTAGTGAAGACGCTCTAGGCGCCGCTCGTGGCACTCCTCGCACGCCCTTCTTTGAGGGGTGTTCCCCCTCCCCTCTTGCCCCCTCCTACGCCTCTGCTGCTGCTGTTGACGTCTTTGGTGCTGAGGACGTCGAGCTGCTTCTGCTAGTCGGAAGCGCCACAGCAGCAAGGGCAAGGGTGGCAGGAGTGATGGAGGTGGAAGCGGGGGTGGTAGTGGGGGCGGCAGTGGAGGTGGGGGAGGTAGTGGAGGTGGTGGCAGCGGTGGGAGTGGTGGCGGGAGTGGGGGCTTTGGTGGCGGCAGTGGTGGCAGCGGTGGAAGTGGCGGTAGTGGCGGCGGCAGGGGTGGTGGCAGTCGGGGTGGAGCTGTTCAGAGGGGATGTTCTGGCGGTGGCCAGCAGCAGCAGCAGCAGCAGCAGCAGCGTTGGAGTGAGACCCCGTCACCCCAGCAGCTTCATGAGTGGTTTTCTCAGTGTGGGGCGTCTGGGGGTAATGTTAGCTGCCCGTATGTCATTCGCACGGGTGACCGTGCTGGTCAGACATGCGGGAAGCCTCACACTCAGCACCGCTGCTTCTCCTGCCTAGACGACGCTTGGCGCGCAGAGTTTGGTGACGGGGCCGAGCGCCCTCGCTGGGCAGAGCTGCTTATATCTGGAGTTGCTATCTTTGATCTTGACTATGATGCTATCCTTGCTCCTATGTATGCCTTGTCTGTTAATGCTGAGGTTGAATGTTACCTGTGTGTGCCGCCTGACCCAAGTATAGAGGCTGCTGCTCTAGGTGCTACTGAGTATGCTCTCCCTGGTACTGCGCCTGCTGAGGCCTTGCACACCTTCACGCTTGACTCGGGTGCTTCCCGCTATTTCTTTCGCGACAGTACCACCCTCACTCCACTCCCTGCACCTTTTCCGGTCAGACTGGCTGACCCCTCAAGGGGCCCAGTTCTTGCCCATTCCTCCACTGTTCTCCTGTGTCCGGCGGTTCCGTCCGGTTCACTGTCAGGTCTTCACCTCCCCTCGTTCTCTACGAACTTGGTGAGTAGCGCTGCCCTCCAGGATGCGATGGTCACTACCACCACTCTTGGGGGTCAGCGTGTGTCGATCTGCACGTCTATACGGACAGGCCGT